CCATGAAAGGAGTTGGAAACAGCAACAACAATGGTCACTTACTACTGAAGACTTGTGCATCTTGTGACTTGCTCATCGCCAACACTGCCTTCCATTACCAAACACAATAAAACTTAGTGGAACTTAGTTGTCATTGTAAGGAGAAGGGAGAGACAGGAAGGAAAAGAGACAAAGGTGATGTGTGGCAGTCAGAAAAAGCAGTGACCCCAAGGCAAAATGACTACCAGAAGACTTAATGTGAACAGTTGAGAGTGCTTCTCTGTGGCGTAAACAGTTTATTGCCAACCTGGAAGGAAATCTTGACAGCAGTGGAGCAGAAAAAGATTGGGCAGCTCTCAGAGATTTCAGGTACAGCACCGCATTTAGTCACGTAGGCCAGAACACTCGCAAACGTTAGGATTAGTGCGATGAAAATGAGGGGAAAATTCAGAAGCTGCTAAGTGAAAAATGAGAACTCCCCAGGGTTTACCAGTTGGTTATTTGTCTGTCTTTAAGAAGGCAGCCTTTAACCCCATCAGAAGTAAAGTGCAAGCAAAGCTTGGAGAGATGTAGGATTCTTGGCTCATTAAAAAGGCAGATAAAATTCAGGGTTTTGGTTTTTGGTTTTTTGTTTTTTTGCTTTTGTTTTTAGTTTCCAACATTCACTTTTGTGAGATTTTGAGTTTTAAATTTTCTCCCCCTCCTTCACTTTCTCCCTCCCCAAGACTGTGTGTAATCTGACATAGGCCATACATGTACAATCATATTAAACATATTTCCACATTAGTCATGTTGTAAAGAAGAATTAGAACCAAAGGGGAAAACCACGAGAAAGAAAAAAACAAAAACAAAAACAAAAAAAAAAGGAAAAACAGGATGCTTCCCTCTGCATTCAGACTCCATAAATTCAATCTCGGGATGTGGACAGCATTTTCCATCATGAGTCTTTTGGAATTGTCTTAGATCGTTGCTTTGCTGAGAAGAGCTCATTCCACAATGTTCTGTTATTATGTACAATGTTTTCCTGGTTCTGCTCACTTCACTCAGTATCAGTTCATGCAGGTCTTTCCAGGTTTTTCTGAAGTCTGCCTGCTCATCATTTCTTGTAGCACAATAGTATTCCATTACATTCATATACCACAACTTGCTCAGCCATTCCCCAATTAATGGGCATCCTCTCAATTTTCAATTCTTGGCCACCACAAAAAGAGCAGCTATAAATATTTTTGTACATGTGGGTCCTTTCCCCATTTTTTATGGTTTCTTCGGAATACAGCCCTAGAAATGGTATTGCTGGGTCAAAGGGTATGCAGAGTTTTATAGCCCTTTGGACATAGTTCCAAATTGCTCCCCAGAATGGTTGGATCAGTACACAACTATACCAACAATGAATTAGTGTTCCAATTTTCCCATATCTTCTCCAACATTTATCATTCCTGTTTTGTCATGTTAGCCAATCTGATAGGTGTGATGTGGTACCTCAGAGTTGTTATAATTTGCATGAAATTCAGTTTTATACTGATAGTAACAATCTAAAGTGCTTTTATGATGCCCTGAAGGCAAAGACCTATGCTGCATTTCAACTACTCAGTGGATGGAGCCACATTGATTAGTGATAAGAACATGATCCTGAAGAGATGGGCTGAACACTTCTATAGAGTTCTCAACAGACTGTCATCATCCAACACTGAAGTCATTGACAATATGCCTCAGATTGAAGTCAATTCCTCTCTACTCAAACTTTCAACAAAAAGAGCTGAAATAAATATTTTTTTGTACACATAGGTCCTTTTCTTCTTTCTTTGATCTCTTTGGGACATAGTTTAGTAGCAGTATTCTTAAATATATCATTTTCCTTTTTTTGTCAACTTAGCCAATCTGATGATAAGCCATAATTTTAAAGAGAAGAAATCTGAGGCCCCAAGAAGTTAAATGTCTTGTTCAAATTCAAGCCGGTAGGAGGTCAAAATGCTTATACGTTAAAAAAAAGTTGTAGTGGTTGACTTATTTAGTAATACATATAATCATGGTAATAATTTATACACTGAACCACTCTTGCAATTGTGTAAGAAAATAACTAATGTCTTTCAACTGACTTTTTCCTTACCCCTTCCCCCAATCTACATACTAAATTAGTGATATACATTTTGCATACCACCTACAAAATTTTGCTCATTTTTCCAATTTCCCAAGGGGGAGATCCTAATTATAGGATAGCTGTGTTGATAAATAATTAAAAGGTTCTAGAGAAACTTTGGACCATGTGTAGATATTCTGTAACTGATTTTGGTCTACTTACCTCATGATGAAAAGGAGCCACTGGATTGGCTATGGCTATATAGCCAAGAAGTGGTGGTGACTTCAAAAAGTATTAGTTAATCTCTTTAATCTTTTGCATTGACTTCTTCTGGTGTTGTAGTAGTCCAATGAGAGAGGAAGTCTAGTGCTGTGAGTGGATATGTATAATATATGTAGGCCTCAAGGCTTTTTTACCTTGGCATTTTTTTTTTCCATTTTAAGAAAGATTGGAAGAAAAGCAAAATGATAAATGTTGGAGGGGATGTGGGATGCACTGTTGGTGGAGTTGTGAACTGATCCAACCATTCTAGAGAGCAATTAAGAACTATGCCCAAAGGGCTATCAACCTGCATGCCCTTGATCCAGCAATACCATTAATAGGTCTGTTTTTAAAAAGAGGGATTTTTTTTTAAAAAAGGGAAAAGAACATATTTGTACATATATATACACGTTATATATTTGTACAAATAAATGTGTGTTTGTGAATTTCAGTTTCTTTTGTGGTGGCAAAGAATTGGAAATTGAAGGGATGCCCATCAATTCAATGGCTGAGCAAGTTGTGGTATATGATTGTAATGGAATATTATTGTGCTATAAGAAAAGATGAGCAGGATGATTTCAGAAAAACCTGGAAAGACTTACATGAACTGATGCAGAGTGACGGGCACAGAACCAGGAGAACATTATATACAGTAGCAGCAACATCGTACATTTGCAGTATATAACCATACTTGACTTAGCTTCTCCCAGCAATAAATCATCCAAGGCAATCCCAAAAGATTCATGACAAAATGCTCTCCACTTCAAGAGAAAGAACTGATAGTGTCTGAATCCAGACAGAAGTTTACTATTTTCACTTTCTTTTGTTCAAATTTTCTTCCACAAAATGACTAATAAAAAATGTTTTATGTGATTGAACATGTATAACCTATATCAGATTGCTTACCATCTCAGGAAGGGGTAGGGGAGGAAAGGAAGGATAGAATTTGGAGCTTAAAAAAATGAATGTTAAAATTTGTTTTTATGTGTAATTGAGGAAAAAATAAAATATTGCTTTTTTTTTTTTAAGAAAGAGACTGGAGACTATGACATTGTGAGTTTCAAAATGTACAGGAATCAAGTCTATGCCAAGTTTTTCAGCTAGCTCCTGTTAAATGAGGCATGACGTTTGGGATCCAGTCCAGAAGTAGTTGGGACAAGGGCTCATCTAGCAGCAATGCCACATTTGTATGTGAACTTGGTGGGACCAATGCTTTGAAGAAGCTATATTGTCTGAGCCCACTCACCCCTGAAATAGAATGGAGAAGAGTGTGTTCCCATGGTGCTGATGCTATATATTTGTTTGTAGTTTTGTTCTTGCCATATCTTTTAGAACTTGGTCAGACATTGAGGATGCCAAGGTCATCCATACATCCCAGGCTATCAGAAGTCTTCCAAGACAGTGGAAGAAAGAGAGCGGAGTGCAATTCTGCCTCACCTAAATCTAATTCACGTGCAACTCAATCACATGCAAGTCGTCACCCCATGATGTCACTGGTCCTCTTCAAAAACAAAAGATGAACAAGTCCCAACTAAACTCCCATCTTCTACCAAAGGCCTCCTCCAATTCCTCTTAATTTGAATCCTTTCCCTCTTTATTTCCTATTTATCTCATATATAGCTTGCTTTGTTCACATCTTGCCCCCCCATTAGATTGTAACCTACTTGAGGGTAGGGACTGTCTTTTGTCTTTTTTTGCACCCCCAGCATTTATCACAGTGCCTGGCACCTTGTAGATATTTAAAAACTATTAATGGATTGATTGAAGTAAATATTACTTTGTAAAAGTTAATTAATGTTAATTGGTTAAACAGACATGGGGTGCTGGTCACTGGGATATATGTGGGGAGAATCACAACAGAATGGGGTGGGGGGGATTTAGCTGATATTAGAGACAGATCAGCCTCTCAGGGATACCTCCATTCCCCTGAGTGGGTGATGTAGCTGCCCTTGCTCTTGGAAATAGAGGCCAGAATACCAGCTAAACTTTGAATTGCATATAATGGGAGTTTGATAATTCTAAATATATATGCTACAGATTAATATTGTGCTTTCTTATCCCAGCAATCTAGAAGCACCTTCAAAGGTCATTATGATGACTGGGGGAGAGGGGTTAGATAGGGCACATGTAAATTTTGCAAGTCAAATGGAATTGGGGAAGGGGGAGAGGAGGGTCACCTCTGAATCTGGAAAATTATCCTTAAATTCATGTACCAACTTATATATAATCAATAGCCCAAAAGGAGGTAGAATCAAATCCTCTGGAACCATTTAGCATGAGAAAAGATGAATTTAAAAGCAGAATGCATGGGGTGGCTAGGTGGCATACCTGCTCTGGAGTCAGGAGGAACTGAGTTCAAATATGATCTCAGATACTTGACATGTCCTAGCTGGGTGACCTTGGGCAAGTCACTTAACCCTGATTGTCTCACAAAAAAACAGAAACAAAAACAGAATGCAGGAGTATTCTTGGTTAGATATTTCTTATTCCATATAAACATACCCAAAGGCATACCAAATGATCATCTCACCGTTTGTAGTTCTTTCTAGACTTAAAACTCTACCTTTAACTTTCCTTATCCTTTTCCAGTGTATTCCTTCTAACCATTTACCTTCAGTAAGCACATTGTTATTTCCCTAAATATAGGTCTAACCAACATCACCCAAATGACCTTACTTTCCAGGCTCTCCTTACCGGGATAAAATTACTATTGCTATCCTCCAACTACAAGAGGAAGGAAAATTGCATATGATGAAAGAAAAATGGTGGCGGGGAAATGGCTGCCCTGAAGAGGACAGCAAAGAGGCCAGTGCTTTGGGAGTAGAAAACATTGGTGGTATCTTTATTGTGCTGGCTGCTGGACTTGTCCTTTCTGTATTTGTAGCCATTGGAGAGTTTATATATAAATCAAGGAAGAACAGTGATGTTGAACAGGTGAGTCATTTATTGCTTGGGTTGGGTAGTTGACAATTGAATGTAAATTCTTTTTTTCTAAAGAACTGTGTCACTTTTCATTGAAAGACAATACAAAATGTCCATAAAAGTCCTTGGGAGGGAAAATCAACACAGACCTCTTCTTTTGTTTAATTGTACAGATTGAGCTGAAACTCCAACTATATCATTTATTAATATACAAAAGAAAAAGAAAAAGGAAAACCTTGTTCTCTAAATTTGATTAGTGCTTGCTTAAGTGTAAAGAAATTCCAAGTACACTTATTTCTCAAATAATTGCTGGGTCTTGATACATAGACCTAAAAAGAAATAAATTTTTAAAACTGGAAAAAAAGATAAAAGAAGTTGAAGAAAGATTGAGTAGGAATAGTGATTTATCCAAAACAAAATTTACACTAAGTAAAGGCATTCTTTTATGACTTGATATTCATATTTTTTAAGAAACGTAATTCATAAAGGGAACATAGTAAATTTTTATAGAAATGTGAAACAGGATGCAAATGGTCATTTAGTATTGAAAAATATTTTATTAGAAAATTTGAGGATCATATCGTGCTTTTGAAAACCTGTTAGTTTTTTTTTTTTTCATTCTGAATCAAATATATAATGAGCAAAGTACTAACATGGTTGCTATCTTACCTTAAGGTATTTAATTCCAAAGCAGAGCAGAATTTCACCTTTTAAAAACTTTAGTTAACATTTTACAGGTTACTACTGACCCAATTGATTAAAAGGCTGCATTTCTATAATATAAATAATTAATAATCCAGGCTAATTTTAAGTGGAAGTCTTTCCTGAACTTTGAATATTATGGATAGTTTACTATAATCTGTTATCTCTTCAAAGTGAAATTTTTATCAGAAATAGCAGGGCAACAATGAATATCATTTAAATGAGAACATTATTATAGGAATTTTTAATGAAAAGGAAGCATATATTGCATTGTTTTCACCTTTTATTTTTTCTTAAGGTGCTTTAATTTATTCAACTTATTTCAAAAAATAAAATTCTGCAAATATTCACAATTTTTGTCCATCTTCCTATAATTTTCAACTTTATTTTGCTTGTGTTTTGATTTCATTTTTATTTTAGCTTACTTATTTTTATTATAGTTCCCTGTTTCTTTTGCTTTCAAGGCTTTTGGTTTCTTTTATGGACAACAGTGTAAACAAACTCAGCCATCCAACTCCACGTCGGGAACCACCTTCACTATGGAGCTAGACTGTGGCAAATTGATTCAAGAGGAACATGGGATCCAGACACAGTCCTCAGTCCATACTGTGTAGTCAGTAAAACAAAAGGTGTGTCAAATGGAGATGGTTTGTTGCAAGACTTATAAACTATGAACAGCATTTCACTCTTCCAAATGACAGTAATTTCTACAAAAAAGGTTCAACTGCAGAGGATCTGGAATGTTGTACAGTCATCTTAAAATAGCCGAAGTTCACCTTTTATAGGCCTTGAATGCAGTGCGCTAGCTGATTGTATTTTATGTCTCTATATGTACATTATTATGTTCTTAACATTCCACTAGGAGGAATTTTAAGGAAAAAAATAGTATTTATATTGTTTCTATTCTTCTGCCTGAAAATAAGCTTATTCCCTGTAGTACTACCAATCAAAAGAGAGATACAGATTATAGCACTGGAAAAGCATTAAATAGTATATATAATTTATGGTGCTCTTTGAAACATCGAATTAATGTCCTCCTGCCAGCTCTTGTATCAAAGATAGATAAAGGTATAGGGGTAGGGATATATACTGTAGGAAAATCTTTGTCTAGCCACTGCTATATGTATCAAGCCTTGGCCTTGCTGTGGTCAGAGCAGCAGACCCTGGCATGTGTGTCTAGTTTCTCTCCTTCAATGGAATAAAGAGAGCTTTTGCTCATTTAAAAAAGATGGTGGGGGGGGAGCTTGACAACACACAAACACACACACACACACACACATACAGATAAGTAAATTGGTATAGTGATAAGGATATTGGTATAGGGGTATAGGCATAGGTATAGGATTATAGAGGCAGCTAGATGGCTCAGTGTACTGATAATAAAAGTACTGAGCCCGGTCAGGAAGACCTGAGTTCAAATCCAACCTCAGATACTAGATGTGTGACCCTGGGCAAGTCACTTAACATCTGTTTGCCTTAATCTACTGGAGAAGGAACCGGCAAACTTTTCCAATATTTTTGCTAAGAAAACTCCAAATGGGGTCACAAGATTCAGAAGTGACTGAAATGAATGAACAAGAACAACAACAAAAAATCTAGAGTGCATATTAAACTTTCACCAATATTCTTCTCTTTCTCTCTCATTAATTAAATTCTGTGGTAGTTTTTTTGCTCCAAGATTCCTGTTATGTCTACTTCAGCAACTAATTTTTCCTTGTTGAATCAAAAACAGATGCAAAAAAAAGCAATTTTCATATGTTTCCTCTACTTTTAGAAAGATAAAATTATCACTTCAACAAGTCATGGCTTTATGGCTTTCCTGATTTTGGGGGGTGAGGAAAGAGGGAGGGAGGGGGAAGTGACTGAGAGAGAGAGAGAGAGATCCAGCATCTTTTGTATGGTTGAAACCTCCTAACACTACAATAATGTATTTCTATTCAAGGCTTATGATGTTTCTTAAACTTATCTAATTTGTCCTCTGTTCAGGTATGTACCACTATGACAATGTAGACAATGTAGACAACATAAAATACAGAACATTTAACATCACAAAAGAGAGTTGCCTACACTGATGAAATTGCAGGTCCAGAACAAAAACAAAAAGCTGATCCTCTAAATAGAACCTTCCTTTAGCCTATTTTTTGAATCTTTGCTTTAGGGGAGAAAACAAGTGTGAGAGAAGAATTCTAACTTTTCCAACTTTTGGGATAGAGAGCTCTTAATGACAAGAAGCAATATTAGATTTTAGTGACTGGTCAAATCTACTGGTAATGTGTCCATGTTGTGATTCTTAAAATAGGAGATAAGCGAAGTTGAATGCACTTAAATTCTCATCTGGCTGAGAAACAACACATGTTGCCCTCCTCTTCAACGGAACAAGGAACTGAAGAAGCTTTTAAAGAAAAATATTATTTGTAGAGAGGATTCTGGGAAGATGGTGGAATAAGGCAGAGAATTACCTGGCTCTCCTAAATTTCCCCACAAGTGATATAACACCTCAAAATGAACTTTGAGCAGCAGAAATAATTAAAAGTAGGGATAAAGCAGTTGTCTGCCTAAGATAACTTGGGAGGACATTAGGAAAGACCTGACCTCGTAGTTTGCCCTGATTGAAGTGCATATACCTCCACGCAGATACCACTGAATCAACAAACAAGCCCTGGGTTCAGCTGTGAAGAGTGCCAGTCTCAGCTTCAGGAATTTTCCCCTCATAGACAGTGTGGGGGTCAGACAGCTGATCAGGGAAAGGTTGCAGGACTCTCTGCTGACTCTGGATGCTGGGCTCAGGAGTGCTGAACAGACCTGTCCCAGGCTATGGCTGTAGGTGAGAAGTGAGCCCATGTTGGTGACTTTGGTAGCAGAGGGGTGGGGACCCTGCTGGCCCTAGGCACTTGAAGGACAGCAAATCGTTTGTTTTTGATTCCAGGGCAGAGGGGTGAGCTGAAGCTTGTAGCTACAGGAGGGACAGCAAGGAGCAAGGATATTTGCAGCGATGCATTGGAAGGGGCCCTGGTCATGGCTCAGGGGCAGAGAGGAGTACCTGAGTTCAGGCTCTCAGAGCTCAGAAAACAACAGCACAAAATAATCTAAAGCCTAAGACATTATCCCCCACACCTTAGGACTAGAGTCTGACTCTAACACAAAGTTAACAGAAAAGAAATAAGCTGCTTAAAAAAAAAAGAGTAAGCAAAAGAGAAAGAACCCAACCATAGACAGCTACTTTGGTGATAGAGAAGATCTGGGTACTCAGAAGAATATAGTAAAGTTAAAACAGCAACTTTTGTCTCAAAGAAAAAAGCCAAATGATCACAATTCCAAAAAGAGTTTTTGGAAGAGCTTCAAAAGGACTTAAAATCAAATTAGAGAAGTTGAGGAAAAATTAGGGGAAAAATAAGAATAATCCAAGAAAAACAAGAAAATTATGAGGAGAAAGTCAACCAAAGCGAAAAAGAGATCCAAAAACTTATGGAAGAAAAATAACTCCTTAAATTAGAAATGGGTAAGAGAAAGCTAATGACTTCATGAGACAACAAGAAATAATAAGAGAAGATCAAAAGAATGAAAAAATAGAAGAGAATATGAAACATCTCCTTAGAAAAACAACATACTGGAGAACAGACTGAAGAGAGACAATATAAGAATCGTTGGACTGCCTGAAAGTTATGATTTGAAAATAAAGCCTAGACACTATATTTCAAGAAATTATTAAGGAAAATTGTCCTGAAGTTCTAGAATGAGAGGGCAAAATGAAAATAGAAAAAAAAAAGCCCATCTATCATCACCTGAAAGAGATCCCAAGATGAAAACTCACAGGAACATCATAGCTAAGTTTTGACGTTCTCAGGTCAAGGAGAAAATATTATAAGCAATTAGAAAAAAATAATTTAAATACTGTGGAGCTACAGTTGGGGTAACACAATATTTAGTATCTTCTAAATTAAAAGGTCAAAGGGCACAGAACATGATATTCTGAACAGCAAAGGAGCTGGGCTTTGCAACCAAGAATAACCCAGCAAAACTGAGTGCAATCCTGAATGAGAAAAAAGGGCTATTTAATGAACTAAAGGACTTTTTGGTATTCGTGAAGATCAAAACTAAATGGAAAATTTGACCTACTAGATTCAGGAGAAACATAAAGTAAAATTTCAGACCAATATAAAGGATTTAATAAGGTTGAAATGTTTTCCTCTCATATGGGAAAACATCTGTAACTCTTAGTAATGCTATCAGTACTTGGGCAGTTTGAAAAAAACAGAGAGGCTTGAGGTTGAGTTGAATATGATGGGATGATGCTACAAAATAAAATAGGGAACAGAGAGGTAAAATGGAGCAATTATCTCACACAAATGATGCATGAATGGAAGAACAGAGGAATGCAGAAAGGGGTGGAGGAAAGCTGTTAGTGCTAGAACCTTATTATCATCAGAACTGGGTCAAAGAGGGAATAATGTACATCCAGAAGAATATAAAAGTCTTCTTAACTTACAGAGGAATATAAGGGTGAGATGATAGGATAAGGGAGGGACTTTAAGCAGGGTGTACAGATCAAGAAATAGGAGGGTAAGGGGAGAGAATAAGGAAGGAACTCTAAGAAGGGTAGGCAAATTAAGGAATAGATGGACAAGGGAAGAGGATAAGGGAGGAATTCTTAGAAAGGGTGTGGATTAGGGAGGCAGTGATTAGAAGTCAGTTAGATATTTAAGGAAGTAATGAGTAAGAAGAGAAGGAGAGAAGGATGAACACTGACAAAAATAGGATGGAGGAAAATGTACAACTAGTAATTATAACTTTGAGTGGAATGGCATGAACTCATCCATAAAACAGAAATAGATAGCAGAATGGATTAAAACCCAGAATACAACAATATGTTGTTTACAAGAAACACATTTAAAAATGAGAGATACACACAGAATAAAAATAAGATCTGGAGTAGAATTTATTATGTTTCAGCTGATTAAAAAAAGGCAGGGATAGCATGATCTCAAAGTTAAAATTAAATTAATTCAATTAAAAGAGAGCTACAGGGAAACAACATTTAATAAAAGGTACCATAGATAATGAAGTAATATCAATACTAAACTATATGCACCAAATGCTATAGCATCCAAATTATTAAAGGAAAAGCTAAATTAAATCCAGGTGGAAATAGCAAAACTATAATCATGGGGGACTTCAACTTTCCCCTCTCAGAACAAGATAAATCTAACAAAAAAATAAAGAAGTCAAGGAGATGAATAGAATAAGCTAGATATGATAGACATCTGGAGAAAAGTGAATAGGAATAGGAAGGAATACACCTTTCTCTCAGTGGTACATGGAACCTTTACAAAAATTGACCATATATTAGGGCATTAAAAACTTGATCATTAAATGCAGAAAAGCAGACATTTTAAATGTTTCCTTTTCAGATTATAAATGCAATAAAAATTATATTTATTAAAGAACTATGGAAACACAGATTAAAAATTTATTGGAGACTAAATAACCTAATATTAAAGAAGGATGGGTTAAAGAACAAGTCGTAGAAATAAACAATAATTTTATCAAAGACAAAGATAATAATGAAACCACATAGCAAACCCAATGAGATGCAGCAAAAGCAGTAATAAGAAGA